AAATTATCTAAGTCAAATAAAACCAAAAACCTGTAAAATACGACCAAACCTATCCTACTAGATTCAGTATTTTGAGTAAAATAGAGCAAAGTAAGTTGCTCCTATGAAACTGACACAATGAACCTTGTGAATTTTGTTTTAATCACTTCGTGGTGAGGTCATATCCGTTGGCCATACTGCTAGTTGATCCTCTCGGTTTCCGTGATTAATTCGATGATGGGAAGACGCAATTCTGAGAATAATGACCGTCGAACTGAACAATTCCGCAAACTGTTTATAGGAGGTCTGACTCCTCTCACTACAGAAGCCAAGTTGAAGGACTTTTACTCACAATGGGGAGAGATTGTGGACGTAGTGGTGATGAAAGATAGTCGTACAAACCGTTCTAGGGGTTTTGGATTTATAACATACAAGGAACCAGAGATGGTGGATGCTGCCCAAGCTAACAGGCCACATGAGATTGACGGCAAGACAGTAGAGGCTAAACGAGCGATGCCACGTGAAGATTCCAACAGTCCTGAGTCCCACATGACGGTGACTAAACTCTTCGTTGGCGGATTGAAGAAGGATGTAACTCAAGAGGAACTGCGTGAATATTTCAGCAAGTATGGCAATATCACCGAGTGTGAAGTGGTTTCCTGGAAGGAAACGGGCGAGTCACGTGGTTTTGGTTTCGTCACGTTCGATGACTACGACCCTGTTGACAAGGCTATCTTGTACAAGCCCCATCACATAGGCTCCAGCAGAGCAGATGTCAAGAAAGCCCTCAGTAAAGAGCAAATCAATACAATGAAAAAGAAGCAGGAGTCCAGGAATGACTATAATAACAACTATGGTGGCGGTGGCTATGGCCCAATGGGTGGTGGTGGTGGCTACGGCGGATACGAAGGAGGCTATGGAGGATCTTACGGAGGTAAGTTGTACATCTAGCGTTCCTAGTATTCAGGTGGTCCTTATGGTGGATATGGTGCGAATGGCGGAGGTGGTGGTGGCTACGGTGGCGGTGGTTATGGAGGCGGCTGGGGTCACAACCACATGAATGGGGATGGCCCAGGTTGGGGTCAAGGAGGAATGGGTGATGGATTTGGTCACTACGGAAACCAGCAGAACTATGCCGGCGGTCCGATGCGAGGCGGTCCACCGGGTGGCGGCTACCAACGGAATGCTCCCTACGGAGGTAGGCACTTGTATCACTAAAATTAACCTGTCCTTTTTCTAGGGGGCTATGGCCGTCGTTAGTCTCACACAGGTAAGGATTTTCTAGTATGAGCATGTTTTCAACGCCTAATTACTTCTTCGTATCCGTTGCAGGGTTAGTATGGCCTCAACAGTTTGGTCTAGGCAGTTCTACTAGCAGAGGAGACAGACTTGTCCTAGCGCCCTCAGGTTCTAGGTCAGCCAGCAGAAAGTCGACAGCCTGTCTATAGCTGAAGAGGCCAGGGATCCCATTATTCACCGTGTATATATATCTACTGTTAACTGTTAATTTTCACTGCATGTGCAATCGAGCGTTCTTTTTAACTGTCATGTCCATCGCGAGTTAGCATCCAATTGAGAGTGACTTTTATCTTTAAGTGTAAAGTTTCGTATCATATATGCATAAGCCCATGCAGCATCATTTTTTAACCAAGCTTTGTCACTAGTATTGAAGGAAATAAAAGTGTTGAAGCCAGTTAGTCTTTTGAGTTATGAGTTTTATCGATAGCAGTGAGGGAGGCAAATGATTACTGGGCGGAAGACAAGGTTGACTTGGTAGGTCTTCCAGCCCCCTGTTTAAGTGAGCCTGTCTTTGCACATGGCTATTCTAAGGACAAGGGTCAGAAGGTAACACCGGAGCTTGCTCCAGTGCTAGGTGTAATTGTTGCGTATACTGGGTCCAGGGAGCATATAGCAGGATTGAAGGTCAGAGTAACAATTCACCTTGTTCACAATTTTTGAGTGGTTTTGCAGATCTCCTCGCCGTGCACCCTGGAGGATTCTAAACCCGTCCGCGACATGGAACGCAACGAATTTGGCAGCTCCTGCACTTGTATGACTGTGAGTCACCATTTTGCATGCTATGAAAAATGGTCAGAAATAAATTGACGGATTCACTCCGTGTGTACTTATATCTTTCTTTTTGATAACTACTGTGCGTGCGTGAGATGACTGGCGTCCTGAGTGCAGACAGATGCGAAAGGAAAGATTGTCACTGCTTGTTGCGGGCAGATTTTGTCAGAGCGTGTCACACGGATGCGTGGTGGTCGGGAGACAGGTGAGTCTTGAAAGCCTGTATTGTTCATGTACTGAGTACACTTCTGACTAGTTCGGATCCGATGATGCAGAAAGGTTCGTGGTGGGAATCGCTCGGTGCTCATTTCGGTGGATATTGAAAGTTAGGATAGCTTAGCCTCTTGCCTATCGTCGAATTCACACGTTAGATCATCTACGCTTGTCTGATAAATTTAGTACCCGGCTGCTGATGGCGATACGTGCGTATTTGATATTTTCCAGTGCAGCAGAGTCAATTTCGAAATTTTTAATAATAATAATAATTTTTTTATTTCTGGAACAGAAACCAGCCATTTTTACAGGCATGAACAAATGTACACTAATTAGAACTTATAGAATATATATGATTTGTTAATCTAGAAATAGATTGAATACTGGTAAATTTGAGAGAAATATTTAAAAAAAAAATGTACAAATAAGGCAATAGGTAATTTTCGAGATATGCTTTCAACTGAATAATTCATGAGAAATAGCATCAAATCAAAACTGTAGTTGAAAAAATATACGGTATGTCAATTTCACGCGGGAATTATAAACGATTACGTTAATTGTGGAAGGTAAGTAGCATTTTTGTACAGGTGCTGGCGTGAAATATAAGAGATGCGGAATGAACAGTAATTGTAAGTAAATGATTCATAGAGTGTTTGAAAGTCCATAAAACTTCAAATTCACCGGTAAGTACACCATAATTGTGACATTTCCAGTTGTATATGAGACCAACTTTGAACTTGTCGGCAGATTTCATGATAGAGGTGGTTCCGTTATTCACCAGGTGGGCTAGCAATATTCCGAGGATAGCGGCACTGTTTCAGTACCTTCGTTTAAGGCAGTACCTTTGAAAAGAGAAGACACAAGGAAACCGACAGAGAGGTGCAGAAGTATATAATAGGTGTTAATAATTCAAAACATATGTAAAAAAACATGGGTTCATCATTTTTTTGTTTTTTCTTCATTTAAAAAAATACTATTTCCCCCTGAGATTTTCTAGTGATGGAATTCTAGTCTTTCTTGCGAAAAGAAAATAAAAGTTTAAGTGAAAAAAAGGTGATAATTTTACCTACTTATATAGGTTGAATATGAGTTAAACACAAAAGTCAAAGTGCGTGAACTATGTAGAAGAAAAGCGAGGGCTTAATAATAACTACCGTTTTTCTGAAGTATACATTTAGGTGTCCTTCTGAAGTAGGGGACTCATACCATGTACTTGCATTCGAGGAGTTTGTTATTTAAACTTCAGCTTTAGGCAAATTTTCAACTTCTGTTGTCTTTTTTTTTTAAATTTTATTTATTCTCTTATTCTGCAGAAGCCATTCGAACTCAGGAGCCTTAGCAATAGAGTGCTGTAGACATGAATTCAGTGGCAGTTCTTCTCCTTAAACCGCTCTGAGGCTCACATCTATTGTAATCTGGATGTTGTGTCAGCATAAATCAGAGTGGGGAGCAGTTGGTGAACATTGTCGGTTAATTTAGGCGGATTATCTGACTGGAGTGATTGTGTACTTACCCCGTTTCTGTTTTCGCTTTATTCATAACAACGTGAGTTCAGATGTCTTCAAGCTTGTATGTGTTCATGTCAGTTGCATTGAGGCTATTCCCGGCCGTGGGTTGTGCAGCTTTTACAAATTCAGAATGACTTGTTGATAGATATAGGAAGTAAGTGACTTTGAAATAATAGAGAAGTGACTCTGTCGTTCGCCGAATGCGATTGTGTTATTTCGGGATTTCATGTCCTATTTTAGGTTCAATACGCCTAACAGGGTAGGTGCTCTGTTTTGCCATTGTATTTTGTCGGTTTCCCCTCACCGTTCTTCCTTGCTTCTATGGGACTCCGTTACTGAATTTTGGAATCCTAAATGTTTGCGTATTGAAGGCATTGTACCGTCGTCTGTCTTCACTTTCATAAGTGACGTCTTTTTTATTCGTATCATGAATTCTAAGTGTCAAGTCTTATGTTTAGCCTGTTAATTTTGCTTCCCTGTTTTGGATGTCAGTATGTTCCATGAAGTGATACATTAGCATATAGTGACATCAGTGTGTGACTGCTACGGACTCCTCATTAGAGGGTTCATCTTGGAATATGGTTCCTATTTGTTACTTAACCGGTAGGACTGGTGACATCTGTAGATAGAAGTTTTCACGATGAAGTGTCAGTTTAAGTCTCAGCCCTTAATCAGAACAATTAAATGTGATAAAGTTACAATGGAATGAGTCGACGTTTACAGGATGCAAAAGATGATTGGCTGTGAATAACCATGCGATGAGGTCTGACTCAGGTTCCCCAATATAACAATGTAACTGGTCGTCCTCTCTGTCCCAAGTAAAACAGAGCATCAACGACTCCTCTCCATTTCCTCCCCCGTGTCACCCATAGACGTCCAATTCGTTACTTATTCACACTCCTCTAGAAGCCTAGTGTGTGGTGTTGCTTAGCGTCTTCCAAATTTGGTTCCTCTATGCATATTTAGAGGGTTATATGTTCTTGCCTTGTGTGATGCTATAGTCTCTTGTTACCCATCCCTTCGGGGGCGGGTAGTCTGATCACTGCTGTTGAGGGGAGGCACTTGGGAATAATCTCACTGGCCTATGCTCCAAGTGTCCGTACCGCATAGAGGCACCTAGCTGACTGGCACCAGGCTCAGAATTTGGTTTTTATCCATTATTCTGGGTGGCATATATCTCGACACCGACTTCTCTGTATCTATGTTTTCTAGTTGTTTTAGTTTTCCTTTCGATTGTTTGCATTAGAAATCTGATTTCATGGTGGGAAATATCTGTCCTTTACGAAGACTTATGGAATGTGGGTGGGTGTGTTATTGTATTTTCTGGCCTTTCACATTTATGGTGGTGTGTAAACCATTTATTTCATCTTAACATCGTCTTGATTCATCTGTTTCTACCATTTGATTGTCTGCGTCAGTTTCCTTATATAATATTTAACTAATATTCATTTGTGAATGCGAAAATGTCTGTGGCACGTGGCCATCCGGTATATCATTATACGTAGTACTGCATGAAAGACGGTCTACACTTGCTGTATTGAGGTTATCATCATTCAGTTTTCCTGAGGTTTATCGTCCTTGGTATGGTGTCAAATCGTGTGCAACCCTAATGTTAATGTAGTGTGTTGAGGACCCTATTATCTCACCGGATATCTGGAAATTTCTATCTTATCTTGAATGGCACTGGACGTTGGCGGTCCGCAGATACCTTTCGAAGGATATTTTTTATATTATCGAAGTATCATGAACAACGACGGACGGCTATGTATTGGAAAACATAATGTGATGCTTTCTCTTAACAGTATTTCCTTTGGGTTAAATCCTTGCTTCCAAGCGGTAAGAAAGTGTATCAGAAGATTCCGGGTTGTAGATTCCACAAGTGAATTCGATATATGTAATTTCGGGTGACAAAATACAGTTCTTGTTATACATGGATATGCGGATATTGTGAGAAACGCGATTAATTTCCAAAGGAATGAGGAAAGATGACTCACGTAGAAACGGAACGGTTCGTGTTGGAAATGAAACAGATAATGGAGTGAGACGCATAGGTTGGATTACTGGCATTTTAGATAGAGTTTAAACTCTTAAATATAAGACCATGTGTAAAGTACCATGAAGGCCGGTTCTTAGATTACACACGACTTTAACTGTTTACCGCAATATGCAATTAACAGTTGATATGTGAAAATATGGTACTGCAGTGTAAAGATACTCTGTACAAATACTGTAAATGAAAAGACGCGATGGCAGAAACACTTAAGTAGACGCTGACTATAAAAAAATTTCCACCAGGGCTCACCTCGCGGTACGTTCGAATTTGGTGACACTTTTCACGTGTTTTCGCTGATATTCATTTTTCAGTTCTACTATATTATCACCTATAATAATGGGCAAAATTTCTAACAAGCGTATTCTTAGGAACTCTAGTAATTTAGAAGATAGCTTAAGCTTATCTAGTAACGCATTATCACCTCTAAAATCAGCTTTAATTAGTAGTTCACTTAATACAAGCAGTTCCAACATAATGCTAACCCCTGTAATACAGGTGGAAGATATTCTGTCAGCAAAGACAGAGATTACTAACTTAGTCTCCATCATAAACGACATGCAGCTACAAATAAATGACCTTAGGAAGAAACTAAATCTACTTGACCCGGTACCAGAAACAATCTTCCATCTTAAAAAGGAACTAGGGGATCTCACTTTCCCGAAACTCTTTAAATTGAAGACTAAACCAACCGATGCTGAAATGGAACATGCTAAGGAGCTAGAGAACGCTATGGACTATCTGTCGAGTGAAGTTGTTAAGAGAATTGCTTCTAAACAGAACGCCATAGTGTACAACATACCTGACAATGAGCCCATAAAGTCGGTTCAGCGCTCCTTGTTAAGGGCTGCAAACCTCTTAGGTATACCCTGTCAGTGTATTCCACTGAATAAAAAAGAGCCAAACCGCACGTGTCCCATACTTTTCAGGTTTGACAGCTGCATAATAGCCGAACAATTTAGGAAATCTGCAGATACTTTGGCCTCCACTACTACGACAGAATACACGAGATGAAATCTAACAGCAAAAATAGCTCTATCCACACAAATTCACACGCCAGCAGACACGCAAGGGGAGTCGAGCTGAATAAATAGCAGAGTAGGACACACGATTTCCGTAATAGCCTAGGTTTTAATACGCCTATAGGCTCATATAACCTGAGAACGGGACCCATGATAAATAATAAAAACACATGGGCTACTAGATGGGACACCGCTAGGTACCTAAGAAACGGAAATTTATTTCTGAACCATCTTAGTAGTTATGTAAAGCTCCATCAGCATAACGGGTTTATATCGGCTCACGGTCCTTCTACGTACACGCACGAAATGAGTCAACAAATGTGCGACTACGAAAGACCAAGCATGCCCTACCCTCAAAACAACCTAAAACAGGTTACTTCGGCCCTGTAAATTACAATCTGAACAGTAAA